TTAACCCCTCTGCCTCTGTGTCATGGCTGGCAAAAAGGAACAGTGCTGACTCCCCACCGCACAGACATACGGTGATGATCAGTTAGCAATGTTTGTAAAGTGCTTTAGAGATTAAAAGCACTGTATACTGGTACAGTTCTCCAAGACTACATGGCATCTGTAAAGCTAAGATTTCAAACTCTTTGTTCATAATCCTCTGAGGTGCTGAGCGAACACCTTCACCTTCCATTAAAGTCAACAATTTGGCACAATTTTGCCTGCAGATTAATCATTTTATAAAAGAGAAAAGGGACTCATATGACAAGCCCGAAGAATGAATACTTGCAGCCAATTCTTTAAAGGGCCTTCTTAGTCATCCCTTTAATATTTGTTGGTGCATCCCAATGTAAGTGCAAAATCTTGCATTTGTATGTGCAAACCTGAGTGGTCAGGTGCACCGCACACAGATGCTCATGCAAAGGTTTTTCCTTGCATACATGGATCCAACCATCTGTTCCCAATGTGGGTTAAGAGGGTGATAGAAAACATGGCCTTCTGAAATTAATCTAGCCAAGCCCCAGAGACTGCTGCTATTCCAAAGATGTATAGCTGATGTTCACTCAGACAGCCAAAGTTAATTTCTCTCTGTGAACCAGTTGGGTGGTTTGAGTTCAAACCTTCCCCCGTCACGTTGCAATGCAGAAATGTATTCTGTGTGTGTTCTGGCTGCATCGGCATTAAAACTGAGAAGTGCAAAAAATGAGGTATATAGCCAGCAGTTACAAATAAGACAGATTTCTCCAAAACAGAAAATGTGAAAGACCCTCTGCACTGTCTTAGGAGCTTAGAAGGGCATTTAGCCCAGCTATTAATGGTGTAGAATATCTACCAAAATGCTACATAGTCATTTAAAATGTCTTCTATTTTCCACATGCTTACTACCAAAGCTTTCATACCACATGCTGCTTATATATTATTATTTTTTCTTAAAAAAGACAGTTCAGGCTCAAAACTATCAGTACATTTACAGTGCATTCCAAGTGCTTTTCATTAAGCTGTTCTTACGAAGCTCCATACAACATTTGGTTTTCATTATAATATGGCATCACATAGAGCTAGAAAATCTTATGACTGAAGATCAGATGGTTTAAATGGTTCAGAAGCTGCCTCAAGGTATTAAAAATTATATATATATATATATGGAAACACACACACACATACACACATACACACACAAAATGTGATGTGTCTAAAATGTTGACTTTGACCATATGAATTGCTTCTAAAGACATGACTGAAAATGTCCAAGTCACTGTTTAGCTGGCCACATGGTGGCCAGGTCAAAATTATATAGATGATTATATGATGGCCTGCTCATAATTCATATCTAGGGCTAGATATTGCATTTCTTCATGACTCACACAAGAAAATTTGCCTGAAGTCAATAGGGACTATGATGTCAGGATTAGAACTTGAAGCTTCACCAAGTGATTCCAACGAGCATGCGTGGGAAGAGGAGGAGGATGTTAAGTATGAAAATCAGAATTCTCCTGGTCAATGTAGCAAATCAGATATGATGGGGGAGGTGTAATCCACTCCCCTTTGAACTCAATGAAAAGTTAACTATTGATGTCAGCGGGCTTTGGATTAGGCTCTAAATGACTAAACAAAAGAATGTGGCCCACATTCTTTGCTGACATAGCTTCAGTGGTGCTGTGGTGATTTGCACCAGATAAGTATCTGGCCCTTCAACTCCTCCTCTCTCCAGTCCTTGAAAACCTGCACCTATCTACACTGAACTGTGTGACAGCTGAGATCATAAATGGGGCCCTCTCGTTTAAATGTACTATGCAATATTTGTCTAGTTTGAAAGTAAAAACAATTGTTGCTGGTAATACAGGGGTACAGGTGTGCGGAATAGTATTAAAGAGGGTCTTCATGAATAACCACAAAACCCAAAGCCTACACTGTAACCAAGATGCTAGACACCAGCTCTGCAGATATGTTTGCTTACTACAAAGATAGCTGTTAATAAGAGTATATATATATATATATTTATTCTAAGAGAAACTGACATAAAAAAGCCTTTCAAAATGAGTCCAAATGGATTAGTTTAATGATGTGCAAACAGTTAAGATGGTTTATACATTATAATGGCTGCATGTAGTCTCTGCACATCTGTAATATATAGGTAAGATAGGTTTACAAAGACACCATCCCAAGTAAAACAAACAAACAAGCAAAGAAGACACCCGATAGCTTCAAATCAGCATCAAACTAGATGGTTATTGCCAATATTTCTCACAACGTTCCAGCAGCACATGGAAGAGAAAAATTACAACCAGTCATTTAAAAGAATGACTTCTCTAAGCTTTAGCTTAGAATCATGGCAGCTGTCTGTAATGGCCTCCCAGGGACCAGACTGTATGGATCTAATCCAATTCCTGTTGAAATCAGTGACAAGCATCCCACTGATTTCCATGAGCTTTGGATCAGGCCCTTAGTGAGTATTATGAACATAGATACAATCCTGCCACTCATGTGATACAAAACTCTCATTGGCTTAGAAGTCTCTCTCTCACTCTCGCTCGCTCTTTCTGTCACACACACAGGAGTGTCACTCACACACACACACACACACACACACACACACACACAGAATAAAGGCAGAGCATCATGCCTCATGGACACACGCAAGGCAAAACAATTCCAGGTCTGAATGTAGGAATCATTACTCTTGAGGGTTCTGCCCGACTCACTGAGTACCAGACAACTGAATAGTATAAATATTCAAGTATAGGTGATGGAAATAACTACACCCTTTCTGTATATATTATTGTCTGTCATAAAAAATAATAAATGCAAAAAGACTGCCTTCTACTATCTGAAACCCAAACCCATACCCTCCATTGTAATTATTGTTAGAACCTTCATACAAATATTGACACAGCAGGAGATAAATTGTGTGATAAATAAGAGTCGCTAGCACTAAAATTGCAGAGGCAGAGGTATGAGCTGGTGTTCTGAGTACAGAACTGGGAACCAGGATTCCTGAGCTCCAGTGCTGTCTCTGACATGGACTTTCTTTGAAGCCTTAGGCAAATCACATACCCTCTCCGCCTGAAGTTAGCCATCTGTGAAATGAAGAAGATAATGCTCATCCAGTTGTCTCACTGGAGTGTTGATTAATATTTAATGTCTCCAAACATGCTATATAAGTGCTTACTATTACTATTTCACTTCACCATGGCCTTTAAAGGACAAAAAATGGTATCCAGGCCCGGCATACCTGCCCATTTTCTGCTCATCTTAACATAAAAACATAAGAACGGCCATACTGGGTCAGACCAAAGGTCCATCTGGCCCAGTATCCTGTCTGCCGACAGTGGCCAATACTGGATACCCCAGAGGAAGGGAACAGAACAAGGAATCATCACATGATCCCTCTTCTGTCATCCATTTCCAGATAACCAGAGGCTAGGGACACCATTCCTACCCATCCTGGCTAACAGCCATTGATGGACCTAACATTCATAAATTTATCTAGTTCTTTTTTGTCTTCAGAACATCCTCTAGCAAGGAGTTCCACCTACTTGTTATTAGCACCATTAGCCCTGTCCATGGTATTAAACACGGGAGTTAAGCTTATTCAAACTTTTGCATCAATGGCTTGCCACATAAGTCCATACAATCGTTGTGTTGGAAGAATCCTCAGGAAGTCATCAGGTCCAATTCCCTGCTAAAAGCAGGACCAATCCCAACTAAATCATCCCAGGCAAGGCTTTGTCAAGCTGGGACTTAAAAACCTCTAGGGATAGAGATTCCAATACCTCCCTAGGTAACCCATCCCAGTGCTTTACCACACTCGTAGTGAAATCGTTATTCCTAATATCCAACCTAGACCTTTCCCACTGCAACTTGAGACCATTGCTCCTCATTCTGTCATGTAACACCACTGAGAACAGCCACTCTTCATCCTCTCAGGAATCCCACTTCAGGTAGTTGAAGGCTGCTAACAAATTCCCCCTCACTCTTCTCTTATATAGTCTAAATAAATCCAAATCCCTCAGTTTCATTTCCTATTGGCCCCTTTGCATACATATTCTTCCTAAATTTGGCTATTCAAGTAAATCTTCCTTTTTTTCCCGTAGTATTTCACTTTCACTTAGAGCTTTTAGAAATCTCCTCTTTTGGTGAGCTTAATTTCCTTAACCTTAACTCATAATTTAGATTTGTGACAACAGCTACTATCCTTGTTAGTTTTCACTGAAAAACCTACAGGATCATACACTGGTCAACATTTTTCTGAACACAAAGGTTTTCATTACTAAGTTGCCTTGTTTCAAAACAAAATGTTTAATGCGGAACTGTTGACTTTTTCTTTCTTTCTTTCTTTCTTTCTTTCTTTCTTTCTTTCTTTCTTTCTTTCTTATTGAAAATTGATCAAATATACTAGGAAAACTTACTGAAATAGTTATCAAAATTTAAGATTTCGAAGTGTACTCATATCTTTGATAAAAATTTCAATTAAAAACACCCACAACATTGAAAAAGTGGAAAGTGTTGAACATTGGGAAACAACGTAGATCTTTTTTCTCTTTAAAAAATTTCTACCTGTGGTAATCAGGACTGCATAAATAATTTCAGATGGGACTAACATATTTCAGAAGGGGACTAATAGAAGAGTCCATATTTTGAAGCACTTCAAAATTTTCAGTTGAAAAGTTACCGCCTACTGCTTTTGATTGGCTTGGTAGCATTATTATTGGCATGACTTTGAATGCCAGCTAGGAATACCAACATTTTTGAACATTGGGGTCAATGTACTTATGAACAGATTTAAAAAATAAAAAAGTATCTTAATTATAAGTACAAGCAAAAACAATGTTCATCCATCCATAAATGTAAACAGAAGAAATGCTAACAGAAGATGACTGTATCCCACGATTATTCAAATATACTCCTCTTGTTTGGCTGCTTCTGTCTTGAGTTCATTTATTTTGCATGAAATGGAGTTTTTAAAGGCTTTATAAAGATTCCCTCCTTTTATTTAAATGTGTCTTTCCCCCCTTTCCATGCCTTGAGAGTATGAATGTTACAAATGTGTACAGATAACAGACCCATCTGTACATTTTATTTAGACAAATGGAACCTCAGAAGCTATCAAGAATTTTGACCACATAAATATATTTCATATTGTCCAGTATATCAAAAAGGAGGTTTTAACCTGAGTTCATATATGTTTGTTTTCTCTTGCATTAATTACCCCACCAAAAGTGCTACAGATGTATAGCTCTCTTATTAAGTACATGAGCATGAAATCAAAGAAGACTGTGTCCCTGGGCTGATATTTAACAGAGGTCAGAATCATGTTGGTTCAGTCATATCTCTAGATTTGGCTTTCTTATTTCTGTTCTCTATTTCTGAAGTGGTCTTTGTCCTATGTTAGCAATCAAAAGAGAACATAGAAACGGAACATGAATATTTGTGTCTTCCAAAAGCCCCAATATTTGGAAGTTTGAATGCCTTGAAGCCACAGCACTTTATTCTCGGAAACATAAATGAAAATGGGAGGAGTGTTAGGGTCCCACCTCATCACGTGCGTGTGTCTCATTTCTAATACCGCACTCTTTTGGCAAAGGGATTCTCCATCCTTGAACACGCTGCATGTCCTTTGTTCCTCAGTGCTTTGAGTGCTATTTGAAATAGCTGAGTCCTGCCACAAGGAAAAACTTCTCCAGGAAAAGTTCAGAGTCCAGCACCGCTATGTGGGCGGCCCGTCCGATCAGAGTGTTGGCAGTGTTCGGGAGCGCATGGAACACGTTGTGTCTGATTAAAGTGCAGTCCTTGGCCCCCACCAAGGGTTGGAGGAGGTTGTTTATCATCTCTGCATAAATGGGACCTGAAAGAGATTTGAAGAGGCAAAGTCTCACACTTACATCCCAATGCTGCACAGACCGAGTGACGGTTCTTCTCTATTCAGTGCAAATACACCCTGGCATCAAGACAGCAATACAGGTTGAGACTCTATATTGCAGGACTACAGAGCCCCAGTGGCAGATGGTGCCCGCAGCTTGGAGCAGCGGAGTCCGCAGGGTACCAGAGCCTGAAGCTGGTGGGGCAGGGAAGCCGGTGGGAGAGAAGGAGGCAGAGGAGCCCACAGCCGGCAGGACTGCTGGGAGCTCTGGCAGGGTGATGGGGCTGCCACGAGACGGGAGCTCTGATGGGGTGGTGAGGCTGCCACAAGGCCAGCGGGGTGGTGGTGGTGCTGCCAGGAACTGCAGCGGGCCTGAAGTACTGAGAGCTCTGTTAGGGCTGCCGCAGCTTGTGAGACTGGAAGGCTGGGGAGAGGAGCCCAGCAGGGAGGCTGGTGTTCCCCCTCCCAGACTTCTCCTGGTCCAGAAAACTCCCTTGACCAGGACCTGTCTGGTTCCAAGGGTGCCAGACCAGGGAGGTCCAGCCTGGATCTGAAAGATGCCAAGACAGTGGATACGAGGGGACAGTCCACAGGAAGATTAAACAAAAGCTCTACTGCGGTTAATCTGAAGTGGATTCAGGACATACAGACCAGTCTGACGGGGCTGCTAGAAGTGTTTATTTGAAGTTCTGGGTGTTACGCTTTATAAAGTTCCTCAGGACTCAGGCCTAATCCCATTGAAGAACAAACTCCCATTGGGTATGTCTACACTACGTTAATTCGAACTAATTTAGTTCAAATTGGTTAATTCGAACTAAGATAATTCGAACTAACGGATCCAGACTAAAAAACTAGTTCGAATTAGCGTTTTGCTAATTCGAACTAGCATGTCCACATTAAGTGGATCCTGAACAGGGATTAAGGATGGCCGGAAGCAGTGCCGGCAGGGCATCAGAGGAGGACTTAGAGCATGGAGCTGCTGTCTCAGGCTAGCCGAGGGCTGTGCTTAAAGGGTCCCGACCCCCACCCCGGACAGACAGTTCTCAGGGGTGCCCCGCTTGCAAAGCAGTCCTGGCTTGGATTGCCCAGACTACCCACACTGGGCACATCACAGCACTCGGCCATCAGACCGGCTGCACTTGCCGCAGGCTGCCATCTGGGGAGAGGGGGCAATTGGGGGGCTGCAGGAGAGCTTCCATCCCCAGAAGCCCGCAGACCCAGCCCAGTCCTCCCCATCAGGGGCGCGTACCCCATTCCTCCCTCTCCTCCTTCCACTTACCCTTCCCTAGCCCCTCTTCTTGATGTACAAAATAAAGGACAATTGTGTTAAAAAATGGAATCTGTCTTTATTGAACAAAACTGGGGGAGACTGGGAAAAAGAGGTAGGAGAGGGGAAGAGAGAGGCTGGGAGAGGGGAGGGCAACTAAAATGATCAGGGGTTGGGAACAGGGCCCATATGAAGAGAGGCTAAAGAGACTGGGACTTTTCAGCTTAGAAAAGAGGAGACGGAGCGGGGTACAGGATAGAGGTCTCTAAAAGCAGGAGTTGGGTGGAGAGGGTGCATACAGAAAAGTTCTTCATTAGTTCCCATAAAGAAGGACTAGAGGACACCAAAGGAAAGGAATGGGTAGAAGGCTTCAAACTAGTAACAGAAAGTTGTTCTTCACAAAGCAAAGAGTCAACCTGTGGAACTCCTTGCTGCAGGAGGCTGTGAAGGCTAGAACTAGAGCAGAGTTTAAAGGGAAGTGAGATCAAGTCATGGAGGTTGGGTCCATGGAGTGCTATTAGCCAGGGAGTAGGAGTGGTGTCCCTGCCCAAGGTTTGTGGCAGGCTGGAGAGGGATGGCACGAGACAAATGGCTTGGTCACTGTCTTCGGTCCATCCCCTCCAGGGTCCTTAGGGTTGGCCGCTGTCAGCAGACAGGCTACTGGGCTAGATGGACCTTTGGTCTGACCCAGTAGGGCCATTGTAAGCTCCGGCCTCAGGGTTGGGGGTCTCAGTGGACCACCTTGATTTTCATGCACCCCTGCTCCTGGGTGGCCAGGCTGGCAGCTCTCCTGCCCTAGACGGCCACTTTCCTGGGCCTAGTGCGGAGGTCATGGACGAGGTCCACGATGTCCACACTAGCCCAGGCGGGTGCCCGCCTCTTGCAGTCCTGGGCAAGCTCCCGGGAGCCGCCAGCCTGGTCCCGGGAAGAGAGGGAGGGCTGGGGGGCATTGGGTGGGTGGCTCGATCCGTGCCAGGTGCAGGGTCTGCTGGCTGCGTGCTGGAAGGGGTGCACCTGGCACGGGCACCGTATCCAGCCCGTGCCCCTTTAAGGGGCCGGGGCCGGGAGGGGGGCAGACAAGTTTCCCTGGTGTTGGCCAGAGTGGCCACCAGGGAAACCTGGGGAGGGCTAGCCTCCCACTAGTTCGAACTAAGCTTAATCCTCGTAAAATGAGGTTTTCCTAGTTCCAACTAAGCGCTCCGCTAGTTCGAATTAATTTCGAACTAGAGGAGCGCTAGTGTAGCGCCTATGAAAGTTAGTTCGAACTAACGTCCGTGAGTTCGAACTAACTTTGTAGTGTAGACATACCCATTATCATTAGAGGAACCAATTGAATCTTTCCTTCTTCTTGGGACAGAGTTCAGTTGGGCTAGGAATGGGGCAAACAGCTTCTTTGGGACTCCACATGGGAACCAAATAAGCCTCGATCACCCTGCCTGTCTATTCCCGGAACACTAAACAGAGATGTTTTTAGGAGGCTGTCCAGGAAACTGGCTAATGCTCTCTAGGGCTTTGCATGATTTTTACCGAATCTGGATCTGGATTCTAATGGGCCCTGTGTAAGGAATGCCTGAGGAATGGGTAGGAACGTGCCCTTCCCTCTTGAAGTGCTGTCCAGGCTGGGAGAAAGCTGTGAGGTAAGTGGAGGAAAAGAATTATAACTGAAGGACTGATAATACCAAGCCTCAATTTGAACTTTTGGACATGGATTTCTCCTCTCACTTACACCAGTGCAAGACAGGAATACCATTAAAATCAATCATTCATATGGAACTGGTGGTAGACAAATCATAGTGCTATGCATTTGGCATTATTTCTGACAGGTTCTTTCCAATGGAGCTGTGGAGGTCCTTCAATGAACATCATGTTTGTTGATAAAAGAGATAATTCCCAGGGACAAAAACAATATTGGTGAGCAATGTCTCCACTGAGGGCAAGGGATTTATTCCAAAACAGAAAGGATTTCAGATGGGACTAAGGCTTAAATCATGAGGGCTACGATCCAATTCCTATTGAAAATAAAAAATCCAATTGACTTCAATGGGGTTTGGACCAACCTCAAATTGAGAAAAAAAAAAGGTGAAAGAACACTGGTAAAACAGCAGTGCTGGCAACCAATTCTATCATCATAATTATCACCACTTTTTAACAGAAATTGGAGGGGAGGAAGCCTAGATAACAATCTTGAATGACATTTGTTTTCATCATACCAAGAGCTTTTTAAATAGGTTTTGTAACGATTTCAACAGCTTCCCGTGGGACGAGAAAATTGTCTGGCTTAACAAATTAACATTTATATTTGTGATTATTTTCAGAGAGTGAATGCAAAAAAAAATCATTGTGATGCCACATTCTCAGTCGTACACAAGATTTAAACAGACAGTCAATCCACTCAATGGTTTTGAAACACAGAAAGGGTCTCATCGTACCTGTGTGCCGGTCTTTAAGTGCGGTTTTGCACATTTCTATCCTTGCTGAATGAAACGGGACATATCGATCCTGGGGAGATGCCACCAACACGACATTTTTAAAGTACTGAAGACCTGTAACAAAGAAATGCATCAAAAATTTTATAACTCGGCAATCTATCAAAACAATAAATCTACACAAATGTTAACAGGAGTATTAGAGAGACAAGGAGGGAGAAGTAATATCTTTTATTGGATCAATTCCTGTTGGTGTCAGAGACGAGCTTTCAAACTTACTCAGAGCTCTTTTTCAGGAGTATGGCATGATTGTATGTGTTTTAAAATGTGCAGCACAGTCAAGGAAGAATAGTTATATATGTAGCATAGTTCTAAGGAAACAGTATGGGAATGTCTATACTGCCTGCGACTTTCGAAAGAAGGTATGCAAATTTGGCACTAATTTGCATATCTTCTTCCAATCCCGTTTTCGGAAGAGTTTTTTGAAAAAAAAAGCAGTCTAGACATGGTTCTTTCCAAAAAAACCTCACCTTTTTCAAAAGAACCCTGTACACCTCATTTTTTTAGGAAGAAGGGTTCTTTTGAAAAAAAATTTTTTTAAAAGAACCACATCTAGACTTCTTTTTTCTTTTACAAAAAAAACTCTTCCGAAAACGGGATTGGAAGAAGATATGCAAATTCGCACCAAATTTGCATATCTTCTTTTGAAGGCCGTGGGCAGTCTAGACGTGCCCTAGGGAGTGTGACAAACCACTGATGTCACTGTTATAAACTGTAATGTAATTAGTCTCAGAGGGTTAGCTGTATTAGTCTATATCAGCAAAACCAATGAGCAGTCCTGATTCAGAGAGCTTCCAGTCTAAGTACCAAATTTTATACATTCCTATGCCCGTGAGAAACTCTGCACATGTCAACTGCCCCATTGCATTCACTGGGAATTCTCGTGGGAGTGTTTGCAGGGTGGGGTCCTAAACTGGGAAATGAAACAAAGGAACGAGCATCATAAATGAACGAAAATGGGGTTGGAAAGAGACAGGAAGGCACAGGCTCACAGTAACACTATCCCATGGTTACTCAGCAAAGGAGTTAAGCAGCAGGATAGTTTCATTACATTAGCACTTCTGTTATGGAGTTTTGTTTGTGTTTTTAAATATTCCCAATTCTCAGAGGTGGCGTGGCAGAAAAGCGACTCGGGGGGGGTGTCTGAATGAGGACCTATATTCTTACTGTAGACTTTGGAGTAGTTTTATTTTTAAATAAAGATCTGGATGTTAGTGTCTGTTGAGTAATTAAAAGCCCAATGTTGTTGAGGAAGCACTGCTGTCATTTATGGCTTTTACCTCTGATAATTTATTATGAGTTTATATGAACCAGCCATGAGGAATGAATTCTGTGGGCAGTATTAATTGCTGTTTGTTCTATATCAGCTGTACATACAGTGCTAGAAACAGATTGGGGGATTGTTGAGCATCACACCATTAGAATAAGAGAAGTCTTCACACATAGCACTCCACCCTATCAGATTCATGGACTAGCACAGGGGCCAAGTCAGGGGCTGAGCCACACCTCTCCAAAGTCACTGAGGGTCTTTCCCTTGACAGCAGTGGGTTTTGGATGAGGCTCACAGTCTGAAGGTTGCAGACTGGTTCTATTGCAGGGCTTATTACAGAAAGCGACGCAGTCCAGGGCAGGACAAATGCATGCATGTGATCATGGTAGAGTATGAGAGAGAAAGGTCTGGAGGTTAAAACACAAGACTGGGAGTGAGGAAACTGGAAGGCTTCCTAGCCCTGTTATAGACTTTGCTGTGAGGTATTGGGCATGTCCCCGATTATTAGTAGAGCTGCATGATCTTGAGTAGGGATGTCAGCATGTAGACAACAATACGATAAGCCTGGGCTTATCGGTTAATTTTGTTGACTACATACATTCCTTGCTCCCTCTGTATTCCCCTCCCCTTGCTGTCTCTTAAAAGCCGCCTCCCTCTAAGCACTGGATCCACCTGCTCCCTCACCCCCCATGCTGCTGCCTCTCATAGAGATGCAGCAGCATAGGGGGGGGCAGGTGGGAGCCGATAAGTGTGGGGAGTGGATTTCAAGCAGGCTCCACTCTCATGCTGGCTCTGTGCACCCACCTGCCCCCCACCCCCACCTTCTGCCTCCTACAGAGGTGAAGGGAGCAAGCAGAAGCCGATGCTGGGGGGAGTCAGATTAAAAGCAGGTTCTCCCAAACAGGAATTCTACAGTCCCACCTGCCCCCACCCCCCATACTGCTGCCTCTACCAGAGGCAGCAGCACAGGAGGGGGAGCAGTGGAGACTGTCACAAAGCCTGCTATGGACAGAGGCTGTCTCATCAGACAGGCAGCAGCCCCTATCTGGTGGGGGAGGTCCAAGCTCCCTGCAGACAGAGGCTGCTTTGCATTCCAGGGAGCAGCCTCTGTCCATGGGGAGCTCGGATGCCCCGCGGACAGGGACTGCTGCCACTATATCAGAGGCGGCAGCATGGGGTTGGAAGCAGCCCCTGTCTGCATGGGGAGCTGGGTTTTAAACAGGCTCCCCTTGCGGTCCGGCTCTGCCTTCCACCCCAAGCTGCTACCTCTGATAGAAACACAGCAGCACCGGGTAGCAGGGAGCTCCCTGGGAGTGGTGTCAGACAGCATTGGCTGCCAGCCATAGTACTTGCCAACCTCAAATAGAGTAGAGATGCTAACAGACTCTCCAACACTGCTAAGAGGTAGGTAGCCGCCTTCTTATGTTACACACACATAGAGAAGTTGAGCCAAACTCACTGAAGATTAAGGATGTTTGATATCAAAGGCTGTGTCTAGACTACATGCCTCTGTCTGCAGAGGCATGTAGATTAGACACATAGGCAAAGGCAAATGAAGCTGCGATTTAAATGATCACGGCTTCATTTACATTTACATGGCTGCCGCGCTGAGCCGACAAACAGCTAATGAGCTGTTTGTCGGCTCGCGTGCTAGTCTGGACGCTCCCCCTGTCGACATCAAAGCCCTTTGTCGGCAGCCGCGGTAAACCTCATTCCACGAGGAATAATGGGGCTGCCGACAAAGGGCTTTGATGTCGACAGGGGGAGCGTCCAGACTAGCACGCGAGCCGACAAACAGCTCATTAGCTGTTTGTCGGCTCAGCGCGGCAGCCATGTAAATGTAAATGAAGCCGTGATCATTTAAATCGCAGCTTCATTTGCCTTTGCCTATGTGTCTAATCTACATGCCTCTGCAGACAGAGGCATGTAGTCTAGACACAGCCTTTGATATCAAACATCCTTAATCTTCAGTGAGTTTGGCTCAACTTCTCTATGTGTGTGTAACATAAGAAGGCGGCTACCTACCTCTTAGCAGTGTTGGAGAGTCTGTTAGCATCTCTACTCTATTTGAGGTTGGCAAGTACTAAGACAGTTACTAGAAAATTGCACCTCTGACCCCTCTTGGACTCATCGACTGGATCCCTCTCTGAGGTTCTGGGCCTCTAGCTATCACCTGAACTCAGGGCTGAATCCTTCAATACTTCTCCTGAGACTTGAGTCCTGGGTGGCAGTCCCTGGTGCTAGCTGTGATCGGTTCAATAAGTCTGAATTAGGCTTAGACCAGTGTTCTCTGTAAGCTGTGCGTTTGTGCGGCCACTCAGGAGAGATTCAAATGTCTCCCCCTGATTAGTAAAGCACCCACCACTAGTTTTGCTGGTTTGTTTCTGCGGGTGGTGCACATTCACACATGCCTCGGTGCACATAACAAATCTGTTCTGCACCTGGATGGAAAAAAGTCTGCTTACGGATGGAAAAGATTAGAGGGAACATTGGCTCAGATCCTGCTATTCTGTTCCCTCCAGGGCAATGACAATGGTAACTAGTGACCCGACAGCCTCCATAAAGCAAAGTATCATTTTTCTAGAAGAACAGCAAGAACAGAGCAGCCTATGTTGCATTAACAGGTGTGTTGTGAGCAAGACACGAGAAGTCATTCTTCTGCTCTACTCTGCGCTAGTTAGGCCTCAGTTGTAGTATTGTGTCCAGCTCTGGGCACCGCATTTCAAGAAGGGTGTGTAGAAATTGGAGAGGGTCCAGAAAAGAGAAACAAGAATGATTAAGGGTCTACAGAACATGCCCTATGAAGGAAGGCTGAAAGAACTGGGTTTGTTTAGATTAGAAAAGAGAAGATTGAGGGGGGACATGATAGCAGTTTTCAGGTATCTAAAAGGGTGTCATAAGGAGGAGGTAGAAAACTTGTTCATCTTCGCCTCTGAGGCTAGAACAAGAAGCAATGGGCTTAAACTGCAACAAGTGAGGTTTAGGTTGGACATTAGGAAAAAGTTCCTAACTATCAGGGTGGTCAAACACTGGAATAAATTGCCCAGGGAGGTTGTGGAATCCCCATCTCTGGAGATATTTAAGAGTAGGTTAGATAAATGTCTATCAGGGATGGTCTAGACAGTGCTTGATCCTGCCAGGAGGGCAGGGGACTGGACTCGATGACCTCTCGAGGTCCCTTCCAGTCCTAGTATTCTATGATTCTATGATTCTAAGTATCTAAGGGTATGTCTACACTACCCCCCTAGTTCGAACTAGGGGGGGTAATGTAGTCATATGGAGTTGCAAATGAAGCCCGGGATTTGAATTTCCCGGGCTTCATTTGCATAAAGCCGGCTGGCGCCATTTTTAAATGCCGGCTAGTTCGGACCCCGTGCCATGCGGCTACACGCAGCACGGACTAGCTAGTTCGGATTAGGCTTCCTAATCCGAACTAGCTGTACACCTCGTTCCACTGGCAATTCTTAACAAAAATGGCAATTCTTAACAAAAATGTTTTGGGTTGAACCAAAACCAATATTTTTTTAAATGTTTAGCAAACTGAAAAATAGATTATTTACATTTTGAGCCTTTTTGACATTTTTTATTTAAAAAATAAATAAAGTTTTAAAGCAAAAACAATCCAAAGGTTTTGTTTTTAAAATGACAGGAGAACATGTTTTTGGAATTTTTTAGGGATTGTTTTGGATTAAATGATTCAGCAAAATTTCTCAAGTTGCTTTCAGTGTCATCATATCTGCATTTTTCACCAAATGTATGCACTGACCCTCACCTGGTTCTAGTGAATGGCTCTGAACTAAGGCAAACTAAACAATCAAGTTTTTGCCCTTTAGCAATACAAATTAGGTGGTAGTAACCTAACATCTCTGCTGAGAGCCTGAACTACAACATTTATATTCAGATGCAAATTTACCAAAGTTCAGTGAGGCATGTATGGTGACTCCATTCCATGGTGATATCCACAATAGAAATGCACAAGTAAAACAGATTGCATCAGACAGAGGAGTCCACTGAAGTTTTGCTTCAGGCACCTCTCCCTCCAAGACCAGCAATGATTAACAAACATCCCAGACTGAATACAGATCATTTATTTTCTGAAGGGCAGCTGAATATGGGGCAACATTGTGGAGAATTTGCTCTCAACCCAGACATTTACTCACCTGTTTTTTGGCTGAGCTGGTACAAGAAACATTTGCGCAGGTCTGCATTGTCCCTGAAAGTCAGCTGCAAAAGTGACCCTGATTTTTTCAGCTTCTGCATGAGCCATAGGCCTAGAATGACAATCAACATGCGGGTTAATTGCATCCATAAATACCACACCAAATGCCTTAAGAATTAAAAAAAAATCCCTTCCACAATTCAGAAACTGTGACTGAACATTCCAGCGCTAGAATTGCCAAGGTCACTGGCCATCAGTACTCTGCATTTCTTCTCGGGCTAGCAGTCAGTGGCTAGAAAATCTCAGCCCCATTGTATTCTCTGCTTCCGTGAGCTGACACCATAAGGCTATTGGAGATCTTGATTCAGGAAAGCTACCTCTGCTGCAGCATACCTCTCTTCCCTCAGCCCTAAGGATGCCTTTCTGCAGAGGTTTGCTCTAGAGAGGCTTGTGGAACAGCCGTGCCCATGGCTTTATCCCCCATCCCTTTATGTTTGACGGTACTACACTGCTGATTCCAGAGGCAGATGTTGGTTGTGAAGTTCCTTGACATTGGAGCTCCTGAAGGAACAACTTTACTCAGGTGACACAGGGAAGGTTGGGAGCCTGAGATTCAGTGCACTGGTGTAGGCACCTAGTCTCAGCCTATGGGTGCTGGCTTTCCTGATTCAGGAAGTGGGCTGAGACTCCTGAATGCAGCTAAACACAAGCCCCAAAGCTAAATCAAAGTGGTTGGAGGTCTGGTGAGACTATTTCCTACAGTTCGTTTTAGTGGCACATGCAAGCACTAGTCAATACCATTGCCCCACATGGTGATCTCCCACAGGCACTGCCACATACAATAGCAAATCATAGCCTTTTTCATTAACTCTTACCTGTGCTAACCAACGTACTGTTGTTGTACAGGGTTCCTAGATGAGGCCCAGAGAGGGACAGGAAGGTGTGTAACTTGTTGAGGTAATAGCGAAACCTGGGCCGGGTTAGTACTGATCGGATGATGACGTTACCAAGGGAATGGCCAATAAAACTGTAGGGAGAGACAAAATCAAGAACAGTCTATATATTCCTTAACTTCAAAGGGCGTGTGACATGCATTTGCTATTTTTTGTTCTATGTGGATTGTCTCTGCCTCTAAACAGATCGTTCATTAGTGCCCTTTAGGCATGTTTCCCCATCTCTTTCATCCTTCATAACATTTTAATTTCAGCAGCTCTTCTGCCAGGTACGGAGAGCACCAACAACATCTTAATACACATTCAGAAGCCCATTAAGTCCATGGAAAAACTCCCGCTGACATGAATGGGCTTTGGACCAGGCTCCACATAATGGCAAGATGATTCTATTGAACAGTCATGTGCTCCATTACCTCCAATTAACCATCAGGGTGTTTTACCTTATGCGGGAGATGGAGAGGTTGTACAACTGAATATGTTGAATGATTTCATCCAGCAATCGGTCGGTCATCGTGTCAAAATCAGCAAAAGTATCACTCTGGTGAAGAGAGAATGGTGTCAGCAAATGACATAATTGCCAATGTACTGTACTGGTGTACAAAAAAAATAACCTCCTAGATAACTGATATTTCTGAGGCCAAATATAAGCAATAAATAAGAACATTTCAAGACTTCTTGGCATCAAAAAGAGGCGAGGGGATACAAGGGCACAGAAGCAATTGTTTATCATTGTCTGGGTCCCCTGGAAGTTGTATTTCTGCACCATAAAGTGACTATGTAAAAGCAGTGTCCAGGAGATCCATGTGTATGCTCTCTCAGTGACTCCATATTAAATATACAGGCAGTCCCCGGGTTACATGGATCCGACTTACATTGGATCCCTAGTTACAAACGGGGTGAGGCAACCCCGCACTAGCTGCTTCCCCCCAGCAGACCAGGGAGCCGCGGAGTGGCTTTTCTCAGCAGACACCTCAGCTTGAGAATAAAGGACTGAGGGAAGTGAGGTGTAGGAGAATAAAACTGAGTTCTGGAGAAATGTTTGGCTAGAGTTTCCCCTACAATATGTACCAGTTCCGACTTACATACAAATTCAACTTAAGAACAAACCTACAGTCCCTATCTTGTACGTAACCCGGGGACTGCCTGTACTCAGTTTTCAAGCAAACGGATTTGATTTTTTTCCCCTCCTCTGCACTAACGCTGCAAACTCACTCAGGTTGGTTCCTTCCTTCTCAGATATTGTTAACAGCAATGACGGATCTACAGACCAATTCCTACCCAGAGTAACATTTGTGGGAGCCCTCTGCTATTGGTGGGCTTGCATGGGTGTCACTAATGGGAAGATAGCAAACACGTCTGTTGATGATACAGGAGGAATCTATCCTAGCTCATTATCTCTTCGCGGCGCTGGCTCGGCAGAGCTGACAGGCGTAACAGGCATACACATTCATGTTGTCTCTCAGATGGACATGACCCTGAACACACAATATGAGCAAATTGGTTGAGTCAGGCAACCCCCTTTTTGCATAGCTACTTTATGTAACAGAACCACACTGTCAGATCACAGTAATGACACACAAGTTGCTTAGGCCATTAGTTTGTTAAATAACCTGAGTTACTATGAAAGGAAATGGCAGATGCTGAATCCCTCTAAATATGAGGCCGCTTATCTAGGAGACCAAGCATCGGTCTGTATGTAAGTACTACGCTGCTATAGCACTTCAGGCGGTGTCTACTTTACAGACCTTACAGCGGCAGAGCTAGACCATTTCCACAGTGCTGCTGTAGCGTCTCCTGGGTAGCTGCTCTCCCACTGCCTTAATGAAACCACCCTCAATGGGAGGTGATGTCTGGCTATGTTGGTGGGGAATCCCCCCGGCTGACACAGCATTTTCCACACCAGGACTTTTGTCAGTGAAATTTAGGTCAGTCAGGGGTGTGTTTTTTCATGCCCCTGACCAATAAAAGTTTTGCTGACAGAAGTGCTTGTGTAGACCACACCTAAGTGTAGACACTACATATGACAACAGGAAGGGTTTTCCAGTTGGTGAAGATAATTCTGGAGAGGTGGTAGCTAGTAAGAGTTCTTCTATCTGCCTAGCACTGCCTAGCCTGGGGGTTAGTCCGTATAACTATATCTCTCAGAGGTGCAGATTATTCACAGCACTGAGAGACATAGCTCTTGGGATGTAAGCACCTCATGTAGCACAGCTCCAACTTTGGCATTTAGGATTTAGTGGATTATGAGGCTAGTCTATGGCATTATATACTGACATTTTGTCTATACTGACCCTAACAAAGTTATCAAAACAATGTTATGCTGCTATCACACAATACCGTGTGGTGTTTGACAGTTAATCAGTAGCATGATGGATATCAGCAAACTATTCATGTTATTTATTGCCTGTGGCAATACTGCCATTTGCGATACAACAAAACAAACTATAAATTGTCTAGTCGAGAGAACTGCAAGAGAGTATTCTTGTTTAGAACTGTGTCAGGACTCTAAATCAAATTCAGAACTAATGAGATGCCAGGAAAACAATCATCAAGTGTTAGAACAGATATTCAGGGAAAACATATCTAGTAATTAATGCTTTTGTGATAAAATTCATCTCACTAATTGCAGTTCTTGCAAAGGAGAACATGAGCATATCCAATTTCCAGGGTTGCCTTAAAATAAATGTTCTCATAAACTAAATACTGTCTACTAACCTCCTGCCTGTTTGTTTTGTCTGCATCGATAATTAATGATTTCCTCCTAAGCTCATTATCTTGAATCTTGTAGGTTATTTAGAAGTGGAAAAATACCAAGCCAAGTGTAAGTCCTAGACACAACACACACAATGTCCTCCTATCTCACCCGTCTCCTCAATATTGCTTCAGTGCCTTTTCAAATGCCATAGAGTCATATTTTTTTCCCTGTAAGGCAGAATTTGGCTAGACAGCTTGCACTGCAGATCTGTTACAGTCTCCATATGGGTCTCTGTTGCAGGGAGGAAAGAGGATATGGTGGCTAAGAGTGCAGCAGTAGGAGTCAAGTTCAGTTCCTAGTGCTGCTATGGACCTGCTCTGCGACCTTCAGCAAGCTGCTCAGCTTTGCTGGGCTCTGGTTTCTCATACTCTAAACTTAGGATAGTATTGTCTCACCATGCACACTATACACTAGGGCTGAGTCTACACTGCACCCCTTTTCCGGAAAAGGGATGCAGATTAGACACTTTGGAATAGCAAAATCCGCGGGGGATTTAAATATCCCCCGCAGTATTTGCATTAACATGGCTGCCTAAATACCCCCCGCAGTATTTGCATTAACAGGGCTGCCGCTTTTTTCCGGCTCGGGGATAAGCCAGAGAAAAGCGGCAGTCTAGACGTTATTCTCCGGAAAATAAACCCTTTTCCAGAGGATCTTTTATTCCTACTTTCAAGGTTTATTTTCCGGAGAATCACGTCTAGACTGCCGCTTTTCTCCGGCTTATCCCCGAGCCGGAAAAAAGCGGCAGCCATGTTAATGCAAATACCGCGGGGGATATTTAAATCCCCCGCGGATTTTGCTATTCCAAAGTGTCTAATCTGCATCCCTTTTCTGGAAAAGGGGTGCAGTGTAGACACAGCCTAGTAGACGGAGATGCTGTAAGGCTTAATTCTTTAATGTTGATTAAGTGCACTGACAGCTCTGGGTGAATGTGCAAAATATTATCATCATTAATGTCACCTGCACTTAGTCTGTACTCTGAGAATGGCTACTGCCATCAGCAGAAACTTGAACACGGCAAGAACACAGGTGGTTCATCTCAACCTGCCTTTGGAGAACAGATCTGCACTGCAAACAAAACTGAAACGTTTTACCCTCCATTTTCCTGGTACTGTTAATAAAACAGATTCATGCTTTTGACTGGGCACTGGAATTCTTGATCTGTTTACGAACATGGTGCTTTAGATACTAAATAGGCTGCAGCACATGCATGTAGAGCATAGCACAGAGTTCGTTTAATTTCTGCTGCTCTGCATTGTACGGGCAACGTACAACCCTAACCCTAACCCTAACCCTAACCCTAAGCTTTCCTAGAGAGTCTTTCTTTATCACACGAGCTAATCAATCACAATAAACCACACAAAGGAAACAACTTTTTGATGCTTTAGCTGAAACCAGCAGAAGCAGCTCTCCATAGCAGATCCAATGTATCCTCTTGAGCATTTAGAATTAACGTAATCAGTCTGTCTGTTCTTCTTTTGTTCTGCATAATTTTGCACATCATACCAGCGGTGACTGTATCAGCGTGTACTTGCCATCTCACGTGATGTTTTTAATGATCTCTTTTCCAAATCAGATCCTTGGACCACTGACGGCAATGGACAGTTAGCTATTAACTTCAGTGGCAGCAGGACCAAGCCAGCAACAGCTGACTTCCAGTGGGGGAATAGTACCATTGATCTGAGTGGGCGCTGGTGCAGGATATCTGTGCTAAGTCCTTCACCTCTCACTCCTCACTTCCACTGTGCCTTTTCCCAAAGCTGTGTCAGTTTGGGCCCTACTGTACAATTCCTAATATCTGCTCTGCAAGGGCGAAGTTCCACTGACTCCAGTGGGACCTGCAGTAGATGTAAAGGAGGGCATAAACTGGCCCGGTATTACCTGGTTCCTTTCTGACATTAGGAAGTCCAGCTTTCCACCAGGGAGTCCCAGTTCTATAAAAGTCTTTACCAACCGTAGGTCTGCGCTGTTCCCTGAAAAGATACCGCACTCGGTAAGAGATTTCATTTCACAACAGGGTGATCCACACCGATTCTGCTCCCCGTGTGCTTCCTCAGTCTCACACTGGCCAGGGAGTTGTGATGGCACATGCCTCTGTGACCGGTGGCTCATTATGTTAGGCCTTGCCCTGACGTGGCCAGGCAGGGGAGCAGCAGCGGGAAAGGAATCCTGATAAACTCTGCAGCCGCCTGAGGGCTCCCTGGATCTCAGCTGCAGGTGTGTATGGCAGATCTTCCTCAGGAAGTGAAGGAGTGGGAACTGGCGGGGAGTAGGGATCTCAGTGCCTCTGCCACTTCACCCCCTATTGGTTGGCCAGCAGAGATGTGGGGATAAGCTGCCCCTTTAAGAACCACAGCAAATAAGTCTCCTTTCCTAAGCAGAACAGCGAAGGCCAAGGCACACCACAGGGTAAAGTCTAAGGCACAGTGTCTGCCAACGTATCTCCTATGGTGTGGTGCCTATACACCATGGGTGGGGAACCTCATGCCCGGGGGCTGAATGTGGCCCCCCGGCTTGCTTGGATCTGACCCCCGAGATTCAGGGCTCCCGCCCAGCATTGGGGAACCCACAATGGCACTCCAGCCTCCCCACCACAGGGCTGCAGCACACAAAATCTGGTCCTGGTGTGTGAGAGGAACATGGAGAGTGTCTTTCTCCTTCTCAATCAGGAGCTACGTCACTGAGGGTTGGTTTGTTTTGCTTCTCACTTGTGTGCGGCCCCCGACTGATTTTTCTGTGGGTCAGAGGTCTCTGACCCAAAAAAAGTTCCCTACCCCTGCTATACACTGTGACTTACACACAATCCAATCGTCCCACGTCTTTCCTTGCTGCATATGTAACGCCGAGAGCTGGAGCCGAACATGGGACCTCTGGAGCTTAGTACATGAAACTCTACCCCCTATGACAAAATTCAGCCGGCTCTCAGCTAAGGCTGTAGAGCGCAAACATTCTCTCTCTGTCGTTGGTCTAAGTGCTACCAGATGGGACAGTGAACCACACAGAGAACGTGCGTGGGTTACCCATACACTACTAAAAGGGTGTCATAAGGAGGAGGGAGAAGACTTGTTCATCTTGGCCTCTGAGAATAGAACAAGAAGCAATGGGCTTAAACTGCAGCAAGGGAGGTTTAGGTTGGATGTTAGGAAAAAGTTCCTAACTATCAGGGTGGTTAAACACTGGAATAAATTGCCCAGGGAGATTGTGGAATCTCCATCTCTGGAGATATTTAAGAGTAGGTTAGATAAATGTCTATCAGGGATGGTCCAGACAGTACTGGTCCTACCATGAGGGCAGAGGACTGAACTCAATGACCTCTCTTGGTCCCTTCCAGTCCTAGTATTCTATGATTCTATAATAGTGGACAATACTTATTCTCCCCTCCCCAAGAGCCAGCCACCTTCTCTCCTGCAGGGTGTGTCTAGACTACAGGGTTTTTTCGAAAAAAAGTGGCCTTTTTTCGAAAAAACTTCCCCTGCATCTAGACTGCTGTTGCATTCTTTCAAAAGTAAATCAAAAGAATGCGGCAGTGTAATGTAAACTGTAGGTTTTTTTTCAAAAGAAAGCATCCAGACTGCCTGGGTGCTCTCTTTTGAAAAAACGGCTTGCTTTTTCGAAAGTACTGGTGTTAGTCTAGACGCTCTTTTTCGAAAGAGGCTTTTTCGAAAGTATCTTTCGAAAAATCCTCTTTCAAAAGAGGCTTGCAGTCTAGACGTAGCCTCAGTGACAGCATTTAAACCAAGTTTGCTTTTCGCTGGATGATATTTTGCTAAATGAGCAGATGGTTGTGAAAAGCTTCGGAGGGGTTGACAATTTTACTGGGTGGAAGAGGTTGGGTTTGGGGGGGACAAGTCTGTGAAAACTCTCCCATTATGTAACAAAATCATGTGTGGAGTAATAATTTCCAGTGACGTTAAGACAAGACAACATACTGTGAGCCAGATCCTTGGCTGGTGTGAGTGACACTCATGGCCTGTGCTGGGTATACGAGCAGAGGAACTCGAATTCTATATTTTTAATCAGAATAAAGTGCAGCATCTCTCTCAGTCCTTACCATCTAGTCCATGGACACAGACTACCAGGTGAATTCCATCTTCCAAATTTTCTTCCTCTTCCTCTGGTGGAAAATATGGGATATCAGAAGCTAGTACAGATAAGTCACTGTACAGAAATCCTTCAATCTTCATTTCTTTTTTAAACTTTTCTTTGGCCTGATAAAAACTGGAGAATACACTAATTAATCATATGGAGAACTGGGCGTTCAACAACAAAACCTTTAAACTAGGAATGAGCACATTCAGTGAATTCCCTTACAGCATTCAAGGTGAAGGCCTGTGCACTGCATCCTACAGGTTAGGGTGACTAGGGGAGGGCAGGGATGGAGTGTAGATAACCTAAGATACAATGGGATGAGCTGCCTCTTATGAGAAAGATCCTCACAGTGGTATCTCAACTTGTGCGGGTCCAAAGCAGGTTTGCTGCTAAGAATCTTTGGGTCCTCTTAAAAAGGAGAATCAGGATTGGCATGCCCACGTAGCTGTGTCGAGGGAAACATGGTGTTCTGCTCTATCCAGCAGGACTAATTAGACTGATGTTAACAAACAAATCTGAGCTAAGCAGAGGAGAAGTCAACACTGTCCTCTTCCTACCCCTCAAACAAGTATGCAAATCCATATCCCACCAACGGGGATGGCAACTTTCATCTACACATGCACCAGTCAAGAGCTGTTGGGTGCCTCTCCAGATAGATTAACATTTCCCAGCTCTGGAGCCTACAAGTTGGCTCCTAAGTGGAAGATGTCTAAGGCGATGTCCCACAGCCAAGCTTGGAAACATCAGCTTTAGTCATGGGGCAAAATTGTAACCACCCTATTCTCCAGTGTGTAGCACTTACTCACACAAGCAATCCCATTGAATTCACTGGGGCAGTTCAGGCGAGTAACTATTTGCCAAAAAGTTAGGAGAGGGTCACAATCTAGGTCCGTATGGAATCCTTATGGATTCAGCAAAGCACTTAAGCACATGCTGGGCTGAGCAGAAAAGGAATTAAGCATGCGTTTTGTTGAATATGAGCCTAACAGCCATGGTTCACTTGGAGAAGGAGGTGACAGAAGAGACCAATATAAAACCAGAGAGCACAGTATAAAACAGTCAATCCAGGGTTAGAGGAGCTTGCTGGACAACAAAAGTAGCAATCAGAACACACACTCTTTAAGGCTGTGTCTACACTGGGCCACTTATTCCGGAAAATCAGCTGCTTTTCCAGAATAAGCTGCGAGCTGTCTACACTGGCCTTTGAATTTCCGGAAAAGCAACGATGCTCTACTGTACAAAATCAGCCGCTATTCCGGAAAAACTATTCTGCTCCCGCTCGGGCATAAGTCGTTATTCTGGAACACTGTTCTGGAAAAGGGTCAGTGTAGACAGCCCAGTAGTCTTTTCCGGAAAAAAGCCCCGATCGCAAAAATGGCGATCGGGGCTCTTTTCCGGAAAAGCGCGTCTACATTGGCCACAGACACTTTTCTGGAAAAAGGGCTTTTCCGGAAAAGCAGCCTGCCAATGTAGACGCTCCTTTTCCGGAAAAACTGAAAACGGAATATTATTCCGTTTTAAGGATTTCCGGAAATTCATGCCAGTGTAGACACAGCCTAAGAGTTTATCCCTTACCCACCTTTGTGTTTTAAGATAAATGCCCAGTGCACCCATTTTCTCTCAGCACTGCACAGGACACAAGACATAATTGAAACCTCTGTCATGTGTAGGTTTGCGGACTGTGCTGTCAGCTAGGCAATCAGTGCAAAATACCCCAAGGCAAGGGGAAAGGAAAGATAAGCTAAGGAAAGAGACTGCAATTCAGGGATCTGAGTTCTCAACAATATTACAGCCTCTCTGCAGGACTTGTGCGAGTCACTTGGGCCACATCTTCGCATGCCGTGCTGGAGATCCATCTTCTAGTGTTTGATTGAGTGGGTCTAGTTAAGACCCTCTAAACCAAATGCTGAAGGAAGTCATGAGGAGTAAGAGAAGCCAATGGGAATGTCGGCCTCCCTCTGTGAAAGCCGCGTCAAGCTTGGCTTAAGGCAAGCCAACTCCAGCTATGTATTTTATGGAGCTGGAGTTGTGTACCTTACCCTGACTTTCCAGAGCTACTGTAGCCCTGGCCTTAGTCTCTATGCCTCTGTTGTTCAACTGTACAGTGAGGGTCATGTTCAGAGCTTCTCCTATCCTTTCATAATCCTTTCTGGGTTATTCATAGAGTAAACTCCTCAGGGTAGGGGATTGGCTTTTCATAGCACAGTGGGGACTGAGCTCAGCTGGGGTGTCTGGGTATTACTGCAACACTAATCAAGAAAGCCATTTGACTATCTTACCTAAGCATCCTTTCATTGGCCTCTTCATCCATGTCATCTGAATTGCAGGCCACAACGCTGAAAGAGCCTAAAGGCTGGCGTGTAATAGGGAAAGTGGCCTGCTTTGAAGAGAAGCCAACCACGGCAGGAGTCTCTTTGAGCACAGAAGAGAAGGGAAGACACGTGGCTGTGCAGGAAACAGACAGGTTAACCACCTCCACGGCCTTTCGGCTCTCCAGTGCTAAGCCCTCTGTGGCCGCGGACTGAACCCCAGTGCCATTAGCCATGAGCTGACCTTCCACGCGCTCCAGTTCCTGAGGATATTCGGCACAATAAGATCCGTCCCCCAAGTCTGCCAATGCAGATGCATCATCCAATTCAATTTCTTGTAAGCCCTGCATTTCTTCACATGACACCATGGGTTCATTGGGGAAAGGGCTCCCGCACTCTCCCCTGGTGGAACCAAATTCAGTGGAAGTCTCTGATGAGGCTGGAAACGTGTAGCAAAAGTCTGGTACCCGGCTCACTCCATGGGAGAAATTCTCGATGTCGAGTATGCTAACACTGGAATAAAAGTCTTCACCTATTTGCAACTCCTTAGGCATAGGGTTGAGTGCATCTTTCAGATCACTATATGCACTGAAGTGCACGTCTCTGGGGTCCGAGGAGGGCCTGACATTCTGTGTTTCCAAGCTGCACTCTTCATTTCTCTGCCCTGCCTGGCATTCAGAGGGATCACATCTGTGCTGCTTTACATTTACGGGCTGTCCTGCGTATTCCGAACTACAGGCTCCTTCTGCAAAACCTTCCTTATCTGCCTCTTCTTCTGGTAGTTCATTGCTGCTGTTCCTTTGTTTTACAGCAGCCCTAGGATGCTCTCCTGTGGCAATGTCTGGTTCTGTTTGCTCACTGTCTGTGGCATTCTCACACTCAGAAAACCTCCCTGGCATATCTGTGCTTCTGCACATCACTCCCATGGAGCTTTTCAAGGGCCCTTCTGCAACTTCCAAGATTGCTTTATCACCTTGGGGCATAGCTATATTGTCCGTGGGCTCCTCTGGGCTGCTGATCTGGGGTGCAGAAACGGATTTGGTCAGCTTTGTAAGTTCTACTTCCCTCTCTTCCTCCTCAAACGGTAATGAGCTAATTGATGTCAGCGATGCTTGGATCCCACTGGGCAGGCTTGTGTTGCTTTCTGTATGTCCTCCCTCTAGAGAGTTTCTGTGTAGGGTGTGCCTCCTTACCAGCTGCTGCAGCATTTCACGGTCACTCGGCAGCTCCAAAGCCCTGCTGCGCACGTCAGACCAAGCCACCGAACTAGGTTCACTTTCAATGCCCGAGTCAGATATTATTGAGGAAGATCTCTTTATGACCCCCGAGCTCAGGGTAAACTCTTCACATTCCTCGGTTCTTTGCTCCTTCACAGATGACTTCCCCTCTGGGGCATCTTTTGTGGTCTGGGTTAATAAATCCAAAGTACTGATTGGTAATGCTTTCAAAGCTGGTAACAGAGCCTTGTTGTCTTGTTCAACCGGTCGTTCAAGACTGTTTAGTTCATTTAATGCAAGTTCATCTGAAGTAAGAATATGTTCGTTATCATCAGTTTTAGCTGCTTGCCTTAACTCAGTAGTGTCTAAGAGTCCCCTCGTTCCACTGTCACAGAGAGCACTAATGATCAATATGGGTTCACCTTTGTGGCAATCCTTATTGCTAAGTTTCACATCCATGCATTCTACTCCGAGTCTATCGTCTTTTAATGGAATGTCCACTGGCATTTGAAAGTCTCCTGCTTTATGTTTTAACAGGCCTGTGTCCAAACCTGAAACCATTTCTGAACTTGAAATTGACACATTTTCATGGGAAACATCTGTTTTCCTTTGAACTTCCTTGTTGACCGGACTTGTCTGAGAAGTGGAGTGCTGTGCTAAATCTTTAGCCACATAAGTTTCAGTTGCAATATCGCTGTAGATACAGGAGGCATTCCCATTTATTTTATCAGTATGAATGAACAGAGTATCTTTCCTGAAATCTGCCTTTTCCAATGAAATGTCCTCATTTGATGCAAGAGCCTCCTTGCTATTTATTAAGTCCATTTGTGCACCGTTCATCACAGGAACCTCAAAAGCTGGGAAAACATCCAAACTTTGACCTGAAAGAAAAACAATGTAAATGGCTTATACAAGGAATTAAAATATTTGAAGGTGATAATACATATGCACTGCTGCACACCATCCCATGCATACACCATACATATATATGACAATGAACATTCTTTATGCTGTATTCACTTTTAACTGTTATGCTCATTACATAATTAATATCACTTAGCAGTGTGTGTGCTTTGCAGTTCCAAAATAAGGCAACTTAAATGTCCTAAAACTAGTGGAAACTTTTGGACACTCGGGCCTCTGTTCATATGACAAAGTAAGCACTTGCACCATGGCCAGGCTTTCTTGTTATTATTCTTCCTGTTAAATACATGGTAAAAAGTTGTGGAAAATTGAGAACTACAGTATTTCAACTGACTTTGGAAAGGAAAAACAACAGAGCTTAGTACTAGTACAAAAAATATTAAATGGCTTGCTTCATAGCCTCTCTAGATTTCATGATCCAATGAGCGGCGGATGAAATATTCTATAGCCTTCAGGATCTGCCTGCCACTAGATGTCTCTCTAACAATAAAAACCACAGCCTTGTTTTCCCTTAATGGCTGGAGTGAAAAATCCATGGGATTTTGCTTCGGATTTTGTATCAAGTTCTTGGAATTAAACTGGGAATCATAAACCAAAACCAAAAAACATCTAATAAAAAGAAAAACGTGTAAGTAACAGGAAGTGTATATACCAAAAAAACCCGGGAAATTGCGTACCATATGCAGAATCATTCATAGCATGTTGAGTCCTGACCAGAAAACACATCCCTAACTCTAGTGAGAAATTTCATGGGATCTTTATTGACAACAAAAAGCTAAGAAAATTTTGGTTTTATGCCTCATTTAAAAGCTGGAACCTGGAGCAGCCATCGAGCTCTCTAATGCCACACTGGAGGACTGGCTCAGGGTTGTCTCTAAGGGTACATGGACCTACCGACCCACCCACAGCATTTCTTGCAGTCTCCTGGGAACAGCCCTACCCCTGGGAATGACTCACTTTTGTAAGGGGAATCTACATATCTGTCTTCAAAAATCACAGGGACTGTGTTCCCATCTCCATCAATGTCCAGGCATTCGGCTGGCAGAGGTGGCATGCTGACGAGATACTCGGAATTCCGAACTTCTGTAGAAATCTGGCTGTGACTTTGGATCCTGAGGGAACGACACGGAGGCAATTAAGTGTGCGATGAGTTACTGTGCAGTTTCACCATCATTCTTCTCATCTAGTTAGCGAAACAGACAGAGTTTCACCGAAGCAGGCCAATGTTTTGAAATACGGGTGCCTAACATTACACATCTGAGTCCAGATTAAGGTGCTAAGTGCATGGGCTAATTTTCAGAGATGCTGAGCAACCATGTTCACTGGAGAGAAGGGGGCTTTGGAGCAAACTGGAGGGAAGTGTTCGGCTCCTGGCAGGACTGAACCTAAAGCCACTGAACATAATAAAGTAGCAGGTACCCAGTAGAGTGGTGCACTGTGTAATCTACATTGAGCCAGTCTGCTAAGTGGATTTACAAGGGGCCTTCTCTCGAGATGCCTCCACACCTTTGTAGCTTTTTGTGCTCTTTTTACTTCCTTGTAGGAACTCCTGGGGGGAAAAGCACCCCAAAAGGGTCAGAAGTGATGGGGAAAAAGGCAGGGCCATGCTCCCTCTTGGATAAACTCAGAGAGGGGTGCATGCTGTGATGTCCTAAGGGACGGTTCCCATGTATGCCCCACAACCGCACAACTGCAGAGAATATTGTGACTCACTGTTGTCTAGAGCAGCCCCTAGGTGGCATAGCCCTGTACCAGCTCCCTGACAGGGCTGTCACTAAGGGTATGTCTAAACTACATGACTCCATCGAAGGAGCCATGTAGATTAGTTTAATTGAAAAAGGGAAATGAAGCGGCAATTTAAATAATCGCCGCTCAAGGCTTACAGGATCTGCCGACGACGGGTTCTAGGGTCTGCAGATCCCTGTCTAGACTGCTGCGCTGTGCCGACAAACAGCTGATCAGCACAGCGCGGTGGCCATTTTGATTTAAATGAAGCGGTGACTATTTAAATCGCAGCTTCATTTCCCTTTGTCATCCTGCCTCATCTACATGGCTCCGTCAATGGAGCCACGTAGTCTAGACACACCCTAAGTGAGACAACTGAGCCCATTATGGGTGTGGTGTAAAGAGGTGCTCATCGCCCATTATTCTGACTGACCTCAGTGGGAATGGTGGGCACTCAACATTCCTGAAATTCAGTTCTGTTATCTCCATGTAATGGAATCAGCAAACTCACAGGAATTGCTAGCTCAGGCTGGACTGCCTTCTCAGATCCTCTCTGTGCAATCCCGGACTACACCCAATAACTTCAACCAGGTGGGGAGGAGAAGAGTTGTTATCACCTTCTGGCATTTGCTTCAGCCTCATATCTCTATCATGATTTAGACCACAAGCCTGAGGCCAGGTCCTCACTAGGGGTGAAAGATGACCTAAGATACATAACTGCAGCCACATCAATAGCATAGCAGGAGTTGACGTACCTTAGACTGAATTTCTGTGGCATCTCCAATGTGTGAGATCAATGGGAAAGACTCTCCCATTGACATCCCTGACTCCTCGTGATCCCGTGGAGTATCAGAGTTGACAGGGGAGCTGTCAGCTGTCGATATAGTAGATCTTTACTAGACTTGCTAAATCGAAGCCTGGGAAATCAATCTCTACAGTGTCAATCTCCTGGTACGTGGAAGCAAGTTCTTAAAAACCCACCTGCATATCAAAGGTGTCTGGAGATTACAGCTCTCTGGAGCCTGATCTGGATAGTGCCTTGTGTACTATTTTACTTTGACTTCAGTGGATTTACACTGCAGTAAGATTAAAAGAGCCCCCATGACTTCTGTATGGATTACTAATGCCCCCTGAAGATTGAGGAAGAAAGGTGTGGATTTGCATCACAAAGGATAACAGGGGTCTGGACCACAAAGAGCTTTAAGAGACTGCATGCTCGTTGGGCCCAAGTGCCAGGGATGGGAGATGAAAAGAATTACTTACAGGCTTTCCTGAAAGGTCAGCACAGCTATCTTTTGATGCTCAGCATAAAAGAATGCTTCTGAGAATCTTCTTACCTGAATAAGAAAGAAAGGTTATACATTAAAGTAAGACAAGAGTGAGCGGGGAGTTGATAGCAGCTGTCAACTTCCTGAAGAGGGGGTTCCAAAGAGAATGGCAAGAGGTTGTTCTCAGTGGTGACGGATGGCAGAAGAAGGAGCAATGGTCTCAAGTTACATTGGGGAGGTCTAGGTTGGAGATTAGGAAAACCTATTTCACTAGGAGAGTGGAGAGGCACTGGAATGGGTTCCCTAGGGAGGGGGTGGAATCTTCATCCCTCGAAGTTTTTAAGTCCTGGCTTGACAAAGCCCTGGCCGGGATGATTTAGTTGGGATTGATCCTGGTTTGGGCAGGGGGCTGGACTCGGTGACCTCCTGAGGTCTCTTCCAGCCCTAGGATACTATATGATTAGAACCCTGCAAAGATGCTGGGTGCATACAAGTCTGCTTCAAATTAACTGCTCCAGATGCTTTGTGTCACCAGGATGACACAAGCCAGCTAGGAACCCAGGCTGCCCAGCCAATTCAGCTGGGTTTTCGTTTTGCCTTGCTGGAGCAGCACGAAACAGCTAGTCCATATGAACGAATATGGCCTGACATGTGCAACACCTGTTAGGACTGAAGCCATGGCCCTTGGAAATATTTTGGAATCAGTTCTCTCAGCAGATTTAAAACTAGGGTAGCTAGTTTTAAATTTAATTCCCCTGCAACTGACGTGGCAATAGTGCAGTTACTAAACAATGGTATCTTCTGCACAAATATATACGGTAACTCCCATTATTATACATGAACACAGAGGGGAATAAACTGTACATTATTAGAAACATATACATACGTAGCATGAGATTTGAACATTAATGTTTTTTAATTCTTTGCATGGACACACAACTCAGCAATAAACAATCAACTGTGAAAGACCTGCAGGTTTGAAATGATTTACAGAGCACTTTATATATAAAAAAATACAACCCTAAAAAATTCAATACAGATTGAACCTCTCTAGTCCTACACCTTGGGACCCAAGCAGTGCTGAACCAGAGCATGTGCCTAATCACAGAAGGTCAATATTGTCTAACAGAATTACCAACATTTTTTCTGCTTATTGGGCTCTTAGAAGATATTTGGGGTAAATTGGAGTTAAATAATAGCATAGAAACTGAGAGCCAGGACTGGTGGCTGTAAGTAAACATTATGGGACCATGGAAAATCTGGCCACACCCATAGTAAGTGGATATCCGGTTAACTAAAAACATGCTGGACCACGGATTTTGTCGCACCAGAGAGTTCTGGATTAGGGATGTTTAATCTGTACTGCTATCTGTTCAGAAATAAATTTTCAATTTCTGTGCACACAAGATATATAATACATTCCACTAATGTGTTAAGATGCTAGTCCTTACATTACTACTATTATTTTGTAAAATACAGCATGGTAGAATGGCAGCAGAAAGCATACATTGAGATGTTACAACATCCCCCAGAATTGCCAAGCTTTGTTCTGACAAATGGCCTTTCTAAAAGAACAGATTACCATGGCTTGAAAAATGGTGATTAATAATAGTACCTTATGTCTCTGAGGCTCTCAAACTGCTTCAGGCAGCCAGAAAACAATACCACACGCATTTTAAATGATTGCCCAACAAGCCAAGAGCAGTCAGGACCAGAGTCCCAGTCCCCAGCTCTAAACCTTACCAGACCCACTAAATTGAACACCAGAAGATTGATCTCTGGCATGGAAAGTGGAGACATGACCTGTCATGGGTGAGGGATGGCCAGCAGCCTGGGGACTAAGGGGTTAACTGTATCTGGCCAGGTAGCAGTCAGCCAATAGAAATGCAGATAGGGATTTCAAACTGAGACAAAGGAATTTTGGGGTTTTCCCTCCTTTATCTCTGTGCCAGTTTTGCTCTAGATACTGAGGGAGACAGAAGACATGTCTCTCTCCAAAAAAAAGACTCTTCATAATGTGTGGGCAAAGTTTTCTGTTGTGGGACTTTGGATCTGATATCTGTGCTGTTAGAAATGGGTTTTCCTCTCTTTTGTAACTAAGTTTTGGCCTATGGGAGTCCCCATGAGTATATTAATTGGTGACTTTTTCCATGTAGTCATTATGCTTGTAACAGGAGTATTGTTTTGATAATATAACGTCTTTCTTTTTTATTAACCTAGTATTGGTTCAGTTCTGTGTCCTAAAAAATCTGTGGGATCTACATGCCTCTGACTAGGGGATAGCAGCCACCGGACTGCCATTTGTATTTTCTCTTTTCTTTTTCAAGTTCTTTGGAGAAAAGAGTTTGGGGTGCCTTGGAGGTTGGTTTCAAGTGTCCACCCGTTTGTGGGTTCAAAAGCACCTGATGCTGGCAGTGGAGTTTTATCCCCAAAATCTAGGTTTTTAGGATTTTGGGGGGAAGTTTTATACCAAAGCCTGGAAAGATAAGGGTTTGGGGTACTTTTGCGGGCCCCCACATCTGCATTCATCGTGCCAGAGTGGGTAATCAGCCTCAGAGCTATCCTGCTGGAAAACCTGCTTACTACAGCAAGGTGAGGACACAACAGGTTACAACTTATTACTTGCACCTACTGGTTGAACAGACAGCTAGAATTTCATAGTTGAAAGAATGTTTCAAAAATGCTATTTGCTAGGCATAAAATTCCCCTGTGTGCAGAGAGCCAGCACAATGACTTAGGCATCACCTAAGTGGTAGACACGCTTTGGGCTTGTCTTCTGCTTGAGGGTGAATTTCACCCAATGACTCTAGTTAAGAACACTCTGGATGTCTCATTGACCCCTCCTATCAGGCTGTCATCGCCATTGCTGAATGAGTTTTCTAGCGTTACCCTCAGCGTGTGATGCTCCTGAGTAAGATAGGCCGTGACTTCTGGATGGAGTGTCACTGTCTCCAGGAATTGGGTCCATAGTGCCAAGAGGTGGGTGCAAAGCCAGGCCAGGTCCTTGCTGATCTGCTCTGCTATCTTCTCTGGATTGTTCAACATCTAGAAGGAGAAAAAGATGTTTTGGAGATTAGGTCAGTGGCATTAATTAGGACATTAGATGAAGCCCCTTTTAAAAAAAGAAACAAAAGGAATAATCATAGAATTATAGCATCATAGAAGATTAGGCTTGGAAGAGATCTCACCTTGTCCAACCCCTGCTCAGTGCAGGACCAACCCCAACTAAATCATCCCAGTCAGGGCTTTGTTAAGTCCTTGATTCAGAACCAGTCTGATGCTGGGTTTTGTCCCAGAGCAGGCAGTTACTATAGAAAAATTTCAGCCCATGCATCTGAGCACAAATGAAGCTGTCGACATAAGGGAAGAGTGGAGAGTGGGCACAATCCAGCCTTAGCACATTTCTTCATTGCAGATTAAAAAAAAACAAATGCAGTTAATTGGTGTTAGTACCAAAATATCCACTAGATGGGGGTGTTAGCTCTGGAATATGAAATGATGCTCCCTCTTCTGCAGACTTAGTGATGATGCCTTTTGATTAGAGCATCAACTCTTTCACACGTCATATCAAAGCAGTAGGTGAAGGTCGTTTTTTTTTTTTTATATATGTATATTTATAATTCCCAATACAGTATGGAAAAAATATTCCAAAATTCTTTCACGGGAGAACTGAAAGTCCCCTGATGAAATTAATAAGCAGCAAGTTTAAAACAAACAACAGGAAATACACCTTCAGACAACACACAATTAGCCTGTGGAATTCATCACCATGGGATGTTGTAAAGGCCAAAACTATAACTAGATTCAATAAAGAATTTAGATAAAGTCATGGAACATAGGTCCATCAGTGACTATGAGCCCAATGATTGGGAATGCAATCCCACGGTTCCTGTGCTCCTAAATCTCCAATTGCCAGAAGCATCTGGCACTAGGCACTGTCAGAGAGAAGCTACAGGTAGTCCCCGGGTTACGTACAAGATAGGGACTGTAGGTTTGTTCTTAAGTTGAATTTGTATGTAAGTCGGAACTGGTACATATTGTAGGGGAAACTCTAGCCAAACATTTCTCCAGAGCTCAGTTTTACTCTCCCACACCTCACTTCCCTCAGTCCTTAATTCTCAAGCTGAGGTGTCTGCTGAGAAAAGCCGCTCCTCGTCTCCCTGGTCTGCGGGGGGGAAGCAGCTAGTGCGGGGTTGTCTCACCCCGTTTGTAAGTAGGGATCCGATGTAAGTCAGATCCATGTAACCAGGGGACTGCCTGTACTGGGCTAGATGGATGTTTTGTCTAAGCCTCTGTGGCCATTTTTATTATCTTAAAAGTATTTTCTACTATTTTCTCTGTACAAACAGAGTTATTTTTCATGATTCTACTAATATTTATGAGTTCCAACCTCTACAGCATATAGTAATTATGTTTAGCAGTACATGTATCTGTACAGTCCTACCACAATGGGGCCCTGATCCATGTCTCAGGTCCCTAGGTGGTACTACTACTACTACTACAAAGAAGTTATCCCTTAAAAAGCAAGTTTCATTACCAGCCACAGTCTCTTTTCACCATAGCATCACAAGAAATTGTGAGCCTTAGCTTGATTTTTATACAGTCTTTATGCAGGCAAATCCCCAAGGTTAGTGGTACGGAAATCTAAATAATGATTAGAAGTCATTCCGTGTGTGTGTGTATGTGTATGTGTGTGTATAAAACTGTGGGTATCACAACTGTCCTTATATTGCCCTCACTGCTGTATTCCTAACCATGAAATCTGTTCAGAGTAAGCAATCTCCTCTACCAGTTCAGACAGCGAAATCAAAGGGACATCTAGAAGGGAGATGTTTGTCCGCATGGTGCTCTCTGCAGGATCAGGGGTTTATTTAGTATAGTCCCTCTCCCCCCTTAGAGAAAATAACTTGCAGTGTCACCAATGTTCTTTATTTTTTAAGTTTAAACACTAGCAACTATGCTGTCGAATGCATCGTAAATTAAGGGCCCAAGAGCAAGATTCCAAAGAGAAGATGCATTCACACCCAGGGTTATTAACTAGCATGATGATTAGTTTTCCAGCTCATTGGCTCGTGACCTTTTCTGTATGCTGGAGATAACTGGAAAAGTCAGCGTCAAGCTTTAATTGTGATGTTCTCACTCTATATTAACAGTGGGTCAGACAAACGGAGAGCTCGGCAGATGTCAGAGAATCAGGTGAACTCCTGAGAGGTGTTTGCTTCAGTATTCAGCACTTCTCCAGATCTGACCCATAGGCAGGGCTGAAAAGGCCCCTCAAATTCCAAGACCTCTCACATTCATCTGAGCTCTGCAATGTTGGGCTGTTTAAGAAGGCAATTTTTCCCCGATAGTGTCCATTACCACCAAATAAGGAAATACATCTAAAATGTTTCAAGAAAACTTTGATAGCTGACTGTATGGCACGTACCCACTTATCAATTGATGTCGTTGTGAAACCTTTATTTCTTTATCGATGTAGTGGCGGAGCCCTCATTTCTTTATTGTTTTATCTTTATGATTCCCGCTTCTCTACTCTGTATCTGTGTGGTCTCTGTCTGGTTCTTTGATTGATTCTGTCTGCTGGATAATTAATTCTGCTGAGTGTAAATCAATGAAAGTGGTGGGATATAATTAGTTAGATAATCATGTTATAATATGCTGGGATTGGCTAGTTAAATGTTAGTAAAATGATTGGTTATGGTAGAGCTGAGAATATTATTCTCTGCGCTGATTAGGCCTCAGCTGGAGTACTATGTTCAGTTCTGGGCAACACATTTCAGGAAAGAAATGGACAAATTGGAGAAGGTCCACAGGAGAGCAACACAAATGCTTAAATGTCTAGAAAACATGATCTATGAGGGAAGATTGAAAGAACTTGGCTTGTTTAGTCTGGAAAAGAGAAGACTGAGAGGGGACTTGATACAAGTTTTCAAGTACCTAAAAGGGAGTTAGAAGGAGGAGAGAGAAAAACATATTTTTCTTAACCTCTGTTGATAGGAAAGAAGCGATGGGCTTAAATTGCAGCAAGGTAGGTTTAGGCTGGACATTAAGAAAAACTTCCCAACTGCCAGGGTGGCTAAGTACTGGAATAAATTACCTAGAGAGATTCTGGAATCCCCATTACTGGAGATATATAAGAGCAGGCTGGATAGACATCTATCAGGGAAATAGCTTATTTCGAAATAGCACATCTACACTGCAGGGAAGCCTCACAATTAGTCCGAGGCAGGCTTCCCTAATATAAACGGGCTATCTTGATTTAGAGCCCCAGGAGGAATAACTTAGAATGGCCCTCGTGAGGTCATTTCCCCAGAACCCAGGGTCAGTTGTGGAGTCCCCAGCTGACCTCGGGTTCCGCTTCTGTGCAGAGCCCACGATCAGCTGGGCATCCCCATCTGATGCCAGGCTTCATGGCAGCTGCTCCTTTGAAACGCTGAGGTGGAAAAAGGAAACTCGATTCATGCTAACTAGAAACTAACCCCAATAAACATAACATTTTCCAGATTTGGGGTACAGGCAGTCCCCGGGTTATGTACAAGATAGGGACTGTAGGTTTGTTCTTAAGTTGAATTTGTACGTAAGTTGGAACTGGCGTCCAGATTCAGCCGCTGCTGAAACTGACCAGCGGCTGACTCCAGGAAGCCCGAGGCAGATTTTCTCTGCCCTGGGCTTCCCGGGTTATGTACAAGATAGGGACTGTAGGTTTGTTCTTAAGTTGAATTTGTACGTAAGTTGGAACTGGCGTCCAGATTCAGCCGCTGCTGAAACTGACCAGCGGCTGACTCCAGGAAGCCCAAGGCAGAGTTTCTCTGCCCCAGGCTTCCTGGAATCAGCCGCTGATCAGTTTCAACAGCGGCTGAATCTGGACGCCTGGGACAGAGCAGCTGGGGCACTGCTGGGTAGGTCCCCGCAGCGCCGCACTTCGGCGCTGCGGGGACCAACCCGGCAGCACTCCCGCTGCTCTACCCCGGGGGTCCCCAAGTCAGCTGCTGCTGACACTGACCAGAGGCTGGTTCCAGGCA